ATTAATAAAAAACAATTTCTAGAATAAGTGTAATTATTAATAAAAGTACTCTTGTTTAAGTTTAAGAATTAAGCATCAATTATACTCCATCAATAAAAATTTAAATTAAATATTAAAATACATTCCTAATATAAACGTCTTACATAATCTATATTTCAATAATAAACTATTCTTACATTAATTTAATTGTATTTCTTGTAAGCTCTTCTTAATTTGGGAATTACAAAGCTAACTTTTCAAATTTAGTCGCAACCATTCTAAAATTTTCAATATGTCTAGGCAAAGCAATAGCGAAACCTTGCATAATAGTTCCATTTGCATAATCATAGCAATCTTAAGTTGATACTTTTTTCTCAGTTGTTAATATACCACATGTTTTATTATTCATCATAACACTTTCATATGCATTTACATAATTAGCATGATGTGAGGCTAAATTTTTAGAGTGTTCCTTTTACATATTTGAATTCAAAATATACATTTAGTTTATTGCTCCTTTCAAATATTCAAAACTGTTTATTCCATAAGCAGGATAGGAAGGTTGTACAAGCATTTACCTTTGTACATTGTTACTAAAGGAAAAATAGCTTTCAATCATACATGTTACATTCGCTTCGCTTATAAAAAGTTTAATATTATCAGAAATTTATATGGAGAAATAATAAGTAAGCCCAAAATAAATTTCAAGGACAACAACAGAAATAAAAAAAGGAATGAAAAAATTGCTTTTGTTTTTTAAATCGATTTTAAATTTTTTTCTTTTCTTTCCTCTCATTCTTAAAAGAGAATCGTCATCGTTGTTTCCTTTACTTTATAAAGAATTATCTGAAAACATTTCTTCGTCATTTCCTGATTACATTTAGTTCACAAAGTTTTCACTTTTTAAAAATAATTTTTTTGCTTTTGGAGTTGGAATGTCAAGGAATATTGCAAGAACTTCTTTTGAAGATTAATTTACACACAAATAGAAAGGCATAATTATAAAAAATGAAAAAATAACGAATGAAATTGATATTATTAATAAATTTTTGAAAACATCGTTTTTATTTTAAATCCAATTTTAAATTTCTAAAACATAGTAATTTGATATTTTTCGCTAAGCGACATAATACTAATTTAGTATATTATATTGTAAAAAGTAGAAATCCGGATTATTAGTATCAAATTATGATAATTCAAATGTTTTTACTTAATTTATTTAAGATATCAATTATTACGTGGCTTCATTTATATCAAAAGCTCTTGTTCTTTCAGTATTTTCTTCTTTGAATTTCATTTCAACAGAATCACTGCTAAATAATTCTTTATGTTCAGGAAGCATATCAAATGTATTTAACTAAATATAATTTTAAAGTTCTTACATATTTTTAAGCCCTTCTTCTATATCATCTTTTTATTATTTAATATTAGCCTCTTTTTTTTCTTAGTTATCAAATTTAATAGCTTAAATATTTATAGAATATAATTAAAATAATTTAGAAAGTATCAATTAAGAGGATGAAATGAGTAAATTATTTTTACTAAGTAGTTAATATCTTTCCATACATTAAGAAAATTCACTTTCAGACAAGAAATGGTTAACCAGGCATAAAATAGCCAATATAATCATAAAAAGAGTTGAAATTCTTCTTAAAGTCTTAACAGAAGAAGATTATAAAAATTATTCGCTTTAAGTAAAAGAAATAAAGCTTTGTCTATTTTTAAATATTGTTCCTATTTCACTACTTTCTTCAATTTCTTCTATTTCTTGTTTTCCATCTTTTGTTTAGTTTTATTCATCTTCATTTTATTCGTCATCATCTACATCTTCATCTCTTTTTATATCTTCTACATCTTATACTTTTCCTTAAAATAATCTTAAAGTTTTTATTCCAAATCCATATTTTGGTTCTTTTTTTTATTTATATATATATTTAATTATATATATATATATTTTTTTATTTTATTACTATTTGCTTCTATTTCATCATCTTTTTCTTATTAAGTTCTGTTGTCAATAATTTCTTCTGCTTATTTTAAATAATAAGAGGAATCAGGAATTATTATTGTCTAGTCTATTTCTTCGTTTATTTAACCTGGTGGTCCATCAAGTAAATTTCCAAGAAATTATTTGTTAACAGGATCATATTTCATTTAGAAATTCTTTTAAATAGATTTTATATAAGTTCTATTAGTAAAAGGATTTAAAGTTTAGTACGGATCAAATTTTTTTGGAGAAGATGCATCTTTATTCTCTGTTTAAATGTTAGATTAACTATTTTTAACTTTTTCAACTCTAACATAATATCCTTAAAATCCTAAATTTCTAAATTATACTTCTTAAGCTTAAATATTAACAATAAATTCTTTACTTTTTTTTTTTAAGTCAACAGCTATAGTATTAAAACCATTTTTCATTTAAATTTCTTTAATTTTATCATAAAAGTCACACACGGCATCAGTAATAGTCATTTTTTTCTTCAATATTCTTTTTTAATCCACTAAAAATATATTAATGGACGTAGAAGTAGTATTTTATATTTTCCCTTCACTATCAACAAGCATATAACAGACTAAATTGACAGTTTTTTAAACTCTAAATTGAGCCACAAACTATAAGCCATGTATTAAGGAAGGAACATGTCTAATAATGGCTATTAAAGGCACAATATAATCCAATTTGTTTTTACCTGGAAATTACTTTTCAATATTTAAAATTCTAGACTCTAAGGAAGATAAATATGATTCAATAAAAGTATCATGATATTTAGAATACATATTCGGCATTAATACTTTCACATTTCTATTTAATATTTCCATTTTATTATATCCTAATTATCCACTTGCTGCTAAATTAATATTAGAAATAATTCCAAAAGAATCTTCTTCTGCTGAGATAAAGACAGTAGGCTTACTTTCTGAATTCAAATCTATTAATCCACTAGTCTTATTCTAAGCATTCTTAGCATTTGAATCACATAATTTCATTAATATTTCCTCTCCTCCATCTTTATCATTTAAAATCTCAATCATGAATTTAGCATACAGCCTCATCATAGAAGGAATAAAAGAATCATTTTATTAAAGTTTTTTCCATTATTCCTCTGCTAATTAGTTTATTATATTTATTTTATATCCTATTTCACTTAGTTTCCCTAAATCAGGAGCATCTTCACTTAATTAAGACCAAAACTCAAGATGAAGATTTGCACTTTTTTCTATGTTTGTTCTGCACTATTTTAAATGTGTTTAAACTGAAAGTTCATTTACCATTTCATAATTATCTCCTTTTTTGCCATTTTAATCCGATCTTTCAATAAGAGAATTTTCAATTATTATTTTATATCTAAAAATAACGTTTTAATAACATAATTTATAAATAATAATACTACCTATAAATAATAAATTATTCATCAAAAGAAGGTCTTTCCAATTCAGCATTCAATAATTCTTATAGTGCTTATTATTTAGTTTACATTTTGTCTAAAAGATATAATGCATAAAGAATCCTAAGTCTCGTATTATTAGGAAATTTTTATAATCCATAATAATACATTCCTTACATAACAGCAATAACCATAATAACTTATTCGCATTCTCCTTATTATCTTAACATTTTAGAAAATTTAGTAGTTTTAAGAACTCTCCTTTTAGTATTAGTGTCTTCTTTACTTGTTAAGCATCTATGATAATCTAAGAATCCGTCAATAAGAATAGCTATTCCTTTATGGGAATGATAAAGGTTTACTAATTTAGTTAAATAAGTGAGTTAATTCATTGGTTATGCTAATACTTCGTAATTATTACTATTTATTAGAATATAGTCAAAATTCTATTCTTGTCTTAAAATAACTATAAGTACAATAAAAGGCAATCCAATAATCCAAACAATAATTGTTCCATCAAACGAATAATTATACATTATTTTGGCTAGAAGAAGCATCTATTTTTTTATATATTAAATATTATATCATTATTATTACTAATGAAGTCCACATGAAGACAGCCATTTAAGAAGTTATTAATTTCGAAATATAATAATGATGATATAAAAGATTAAATGAAAAATGATCAAAAAGTACAGTAGAGAATACAACATAAATAAAAATTAAAACAATTTCCAAACTTTTATCACTAAAAACAGTAAAAGTAATCACCAAAATAGTCTTAAATATATGCACAAGAAGATCTCCTCTTGCTGTAGTTTTCGAATAACAATCTTAAGTAGTTAACCTACATTCATAATATATAAAAGTCATTAAACTAACATAGAGAAATATAATTATCATTGAAAGACTTCCTAAAAGAGTAAAGCTAATATAGCTTCCTTTTTTCCGAAAAAAAAAAAAAAAAATCTTAAAAAAAATAAAAAAATATACACATTAAAAAATACCTGTATAGCAAACCTCTTCAGTAAAAATCATATGAAAAAATTATTATCCTTTACTTTAGCATTTAAAAACTTCCATGAATAATTCAAATACAGGTATATAAAGGAAAGAGCAAATCCATTCAGTTGATATTCTCAAAAAAGAAATAGGCCATTAAATTATAATCGACTTTTTTTTCAATGATAGGCCTATATATATAATCACAAATATAATCATAAGCATAAAAAATATTAATATGTAAAAAACTACTTGAAATACTTAAAAATTAGACTTTTCTATTAACGGAACTATCCTTGAATACCTTAATATTGCTGATAATACATCCATTAAAACTTAGTTTTTCCATAAACCTAACAGCTGAGGATCAAATACAAAACTTGATATCTAAATTGTTGTAATAGTTAAGATTATTGCTCTCCAAAAAAATGATAAAGGCTCTTCTTTTAATAGAATAGTTACTATTTCGAATATCATTAACTTTATTGAATGCAAAAATTAAAATAAGCTAGATTAATCGGAAACTAATATATCGCCCTGGTTGTCTGTATTTTCTTCCATGTTTTGATTTTATATTACTATAAATTACTTATAAATTTAAAATATATATATTATTATTATAAAAATAGTTAAATATTTTAATTATCTGGTTTTTATAATTTTCAATGATTTTTTATTATAAACACTTTTTTTTAATATTTCAAATTTATATAATTATATTTAATTTTTAAAGTTTTCATCTTTTTTCACTTCTATTATATTAACTTTAAAATATTAAAATACAATTATTTATGATTTTCTAAAAAAATAAATTATTTATAGTAAGATAAAAAAATATTTACTGAAATAATTACATTTCCTTGTAAATATTAAAATTTAAAAATGTAAAATTATTCAGAATTATTTTAAGGAAAAAATAATTTATCATTATTTTTCCAATAATAATGAAAACTTAAACCATTATAAATTGGAAATATCAAAAAAAAAAAAAATTAAAATTTTTATATTAAACATTGTAAAAAAAAATGAAGAAATTTATAAGATTTTATTTTAAAATTCAATATTATTTTTTATTATTAAAAAATTTCTTTATATGTTTTTTTATTTAGATAACTTATTTTTAGATAAATTTAAAATATATTAAAATATATAAATAAATATTGAATAAAAAAATTTAAATTTAGAATAATTTTTCTTATTTTTAGAGTAATTATTATTATTATTATTAATTTCTATTTTATAATTCGAATTCATATTATTATTTTCATATAGATTTTTTTTTTTTAATAATTAAATTTAACATTTTTTATAAAAAATATAAATTAATTTATATAAAAAATTTTAATTTTTGTAAATAAATATAAAAAATGTTTATTTTATTAATATTTTTATTTATATATTAGAATTAAAAATATATATAATTTATGATTATTAAATATTCTTTAGTATTATATTAATTTCATTTATAAAATGTATAAGCAAGATTTTTTTAAAAAAATAATGAATTTATTATATTGCTTTAATAATTAGTTTTTTTATTAAAATAAATTATATTTTCTTTAAGTTAATTAATTATAAATAGATTTTTTATAAATAAATAACAAATTCATCATTTTATCTGTACTTATTTATAACTTTATTGGAAATTTTTTATATTTATAATTGTTATTAGTTTAAAATTTCTTTAAATTAATTTATGATTTAATTTTATATATTTGTAATATTAATTAGTGTTGTTTTTTTATATGTCATTTAATTAAATCCACTAATTAATAAGATATCATTTAATTTCTTATGTTATTTCTATAAAAAATAAAATAAAAATTATTTTATTAGATCTAATTAAAATAATAATAAAATTAACATATCTTTCTACATTAAATTTTTTAATTGATAAACAAAAATAGCTCAATTATTATATTTTTGTTATCGTAAGAATTATTTTTATTAAATTGTCTGTTTCTGATATATTATATGTTATAAATTATAATTAAATATAGGCTTTTTCTAATAGAAATCTTCATTATTCTTATTTTTTTTTTAAATTCCTTCTAATTCAATAATTTTTAATATTATTATAAGAGTAATTCATTTTTTTAATTTTACAAATTATTTAATATTTACAAGATTAATTTTTTATTTAATAAATATTATAAGAAATACCATCATAAATAAAAAAATTAGTAAGCTTTATATGTTCTATGAAATTTAGGTTAATTTTAAATATTTATATACATTATTTATATATATATTATGATAAAATTTTATATTTTTTTTTTATTATTTATTAAAGTCATATTTAAATATTTTAAATTATCATTTTAATTTAACAAGGTTATGTATATTAATTACTACCCATATATTGTTACAATAATATTCTATAAAGATTATTTATTATAAAAAATAAATTATATGGATATTCAACACTAATAAAAATAATTTACAAAAATTAAAATAAAATTATTGTGTTTTAAATAATATAAATATAAAAAAAATATATTTTATAAATAATTTGTATAAATAATTACAAATAATAATAAATATATATATATAATTTATTTATATAATATTTTTTAATAAACATTATATTTTATATAAAATTAATTTAAAATCTATTATTTTGTATGTAATATAAATTCTAAGAGATTATGGCAGATTAGTGCACCTAATTTAATTGGGATACTATGTTTAGGCTCATACTACATATTATAAAAATGAAAACAAACAAACAAAATATGTATATATTAATAATTCTAGAATTTATAAAGTTAGGAAAAAAATTAAAAAATATATATATAATTTTTTGTTTCTTCTAAAGTATAAATCCGAACAATCATAAAATTTCTTTCAAATAACAGGGGTAAGCCTCCGAATATTATCAAATCTTACTAGATTTATTAATTGATGAGGATACACTTAATCCTCACGTGACTAGCTTACTATAGTATCAGAGTACTATAGAAAAAGAAATATAGCAAAAGACATCAGACACTTCTCTGAGGCTTCTGCTACAAGCATCTTTCACCGTCCTTCATTTCTAAACATTAACTTTCGCCATATCCGGTTACCATTACAGGTTACACAGATCACAATTTTTCTCTTTTTTTTTCAAGAAAAAAAAATTTAGCTAATTTTTTTAAAATAATTATTATTTTTATTAAAATAAAAGTATATATATAAGTGTTAAGCCTTAGAAGAATACAATATAAAAAAAATATGAATAGAAACAACTCAAAAAAAAATATGAAGGATCAAGTTTAACTGAAAATGTAGAAAAAATCATTCAAAATTCAAAAAACTCATTTAATCTGAATAACCTATTTGAATTACAATTTCTTTAAAAATTCCATATAAAAATATAAAGAAGAAATTGAATACTAATCTTAGTGTTTATTAAAAATTTAGAAAAATAAAAAATATCAGTTTTAAATAATCATAATAATTGTTGTATTGATAATGATTGGTTAACTATATTATAAAATATATAAATAAAATATCAATATATTAAAAGTTTATGAATAAGTAAAAATTTCATACTCATAAATACTATAATCATGTAATGAATTTATATAAACATTATTTAAATCTCATTATAAAAACTAGATTGATATAAATATTTTAATGTTTTTAAAGATTAAAAAAATTAAAAAAAATATAATATAATAAAATATAAAATAATTTTTTATTATAAGACCATTTTTTTATTAAAAAAGATATTAATTAACATTTTATTAAAAAAATTAATATTAGATATATAAATTTAAATAAGATGTAAAAAAAAATAAAAATAAAAATAAAAATAAAAATAAATATGAAAAAAAAAAAAAAAATTTAATTTAATTTAATTTAATTTAATTTAATTTAATTTAATTTAATTTAATTTAATTTATTTTATACTAATAATTTTTAATTATATAATTCTTTTATTATTTTATTTTTTTTTAATTTATAATTTTTGATTTTTAAATATAAATAAAATATTTTTATATAATTTTAACTTCTTTTTTATTATTAATTTTGATTATTAATATGAAATTTTGTTAATTATACTTAATTTATTTTACTTTTAATTTTTTTTTTTTTTTAATTATAAAAAAATAAAAAAATTAATTTATATCCTTAATTTAATATTTTTTATTTTGTGTATTTTATTATTAATTTATTTTAATTAAATGTTAATTTATTAGATTTATTTTTATATGATATATTAAATTTTTTTCTTAAATAACTTTTATTATTATAATTATCTATTTTATTGTATATATATTAAAAATTTTATTTATTTTTCTCTTATATTTAAAATATCTTTTTTTTTTCCTTATAATTTTTTCATATCAATAAATTAAAAATTTTTAGATTCATTTTAAAATTTGTTGTTAATTTCAATTTTAATACTTCTTATATAAGCTTCAATAAGATCTTGCTTATATATATTATTTTTTATATCTATTATTATTATTTATTAATTTTTTATTAAAAAAAAATTAATTATATTTTACAAAACATATTTTTCATGAAGTATTTTTTTTATAATGTTTATCACAATATAAAAGGGTGATATTCATTTTTTAAATCCTTTTTTAGTTGATTTGGCTAATAATTTTTTAAGCTTAATTTGATTGTTTTTTAAACTATAATAATAAATAATCTATATCAAAATATATAATATAGATAATATTAAATATAAAATTTAAATCTTCTACTTCGAATTTTTCTAATTTGATTATATTTAAATAAAATTTAATAACATACATAAAGAATTATAAATTATAAATATTTGCTTTTATATGTAAACTTTCAATTAAACTTATTTAAATTTTTTTATATTTTTTGGTTTTTGATATAATATTTTTTTTAGTATAATTAATTATTAAAACATGATTTTTAATTATATATAATTTATTATTATAATAATTACATTATATATTTATCTTTATTATTAAAAAATATAATTATGAAATAATTATGCAAATTAAATTCTCAATAATTTATTGGAATATAGTAAAATTTAGAGATTTTTAATTAACTATATGCATAAATTTAGATAATATATATTATAGAAAATTCTAATTTTCAAAATAATAATAAAAATTTCTTAAAATTTTTTATTTAATTATTGTATTGTATTTGATGATAAGATGAAAAAAAAAAAACTGCAAAGTTATATTATTAAAAATAAAATATAGATTTTAAACTCAAAAAAATAATCAATTTAATTTAATTAATTTTTATTTGTCTTTTTCGAAATCCTCCAAAAGCCTTTTTTTTTATTATTTTAATAAATCCTCTTTAGTGTTTCCTTTTTTATTTTATATGCCTAATTATTCTAATAAAATAAAAAAAATTAAATAAAATTAAAAAATAAAATAGAAAATATGACCTGCAAGCTGTCTAGATTGAACTTAAAATTTATACAAATCATTATGAATTTTATTTTTTCTTTTTTTCTTATTGCCATATCTATCCACATCATCATTAGCCTCTACTTATTTTACTTTATTAGGCAAGAACTCACCTTTAGTATCGGTAACAATTTAGAAGCCATCATCCTGCATTAATTAAAGTCTTTCAAGTTTTATTTATTCTTCTTCATCGTTTTCTTTTTCATAATTAGCAAGCAAATTTCTTAGATATTGTTCTTTTCCCTCTTCATCTTAATTTTGGCGTTAGAATTTTAGATAAGATTCTAATTTTAATTAAAATACATCATTATTAAAGCATTATGTCATATCATATTCATTTTTAAATACAATTAATCCAAAATAAATTCTCTTTGCAATCGGATTATTTTTATTTTTGTAACTTCCTATGTATATTTGTCTAATTTTTCCTAATACTTTAAACCATTTTTTTACTGTTTCCTCTTTAAAAGGCTAATCGAAATTTATTATTTATAATGTTCTATGTTCTGGAATTTCACTTTTTTGATAAATTATTTTTTATTTGTTTTTTTCTTTATTTGTTTGCTCTCGTAAATTGTCTAATATTTCATATATATTTGAATCTTCTTAATTCAAACTTTCTAATACTTTCTTTTACATATATCTGCGGTAATATATAAATAATTTTTTGCCTGTTTATTAAGGAATTGTTAATAAATGATATCTAAATTATTATTGCTAGGCGTATTTGCAATTTTGAGACATATTTGTAATATTTTTTATATATAAATATATTTAGCTTTAATTATTTTTGCTATAAAAATATATATTAATATTTTATATATGTATTATTATAATTTTTTTTTTATAAAAATACAAGTTTAATATATTAATAAAATTTTAATAGCAAAAAAATACTTTATAATATAAAAATTTATGAATTTTAAATTCAATTTAAAAATATTATATATATATTTTTTTATTTTATTATGAAAAAATTAAATTATAGAAATTATTAAAATTTTCATTAAAGAAAAAGAAAAATATATATAATATAAATAAGAAATTAAATATTATTAATATATTTATAAAAAATATTCTAAATATTATATTTTCGTTATAAAATATATATAAATTATATTTATATGAGTACTTAATTTTTGATATATTTTATAATTAAAATATTTAAATTTATATTTTATTAAATATATATAAATATTATTTTTAAATATTATTTTAAAAATAAGTTCAAAAACTCATATAAATCTCAAAGAAAATTAAAAATATATAATATATATTTTAAATATAAAAACAATAAATATTTACTATTAATTTTTTTTTTAAATAATATATATTTTAATAATTTAAAAAAAAAGGAGTTAACAATTCATAATAAAAATGAACGAAAATAATGATAATTAAGACTCTTTATTTTCAGAATAATCAAGCATAATTTAATTTTTCAATTAATTAAAATTCATAATATTTGATATAATAACAACTTTATTGAAAGAAGAGCCAATTACTTTTTTTTGGCGTGTAGTAATGTTAGGTATAACTACATTGTAAATATGTAGTTTTACATTTGAACCTCAATTATATTCTATATGGAAAAATCAAAATTATACAGATATAATATGTTAAATAATAAGATATACAAGGATAGTTCCATTAATAGAAAAAAGCACATTTTAAATATTTTAGGTAGTATTTTATTTATTAATTGTAGTTATAGTGCTATTAATATTCATATCAATATACATATCATTAACAATAAAAAAAAAAACTGTAATCGTATCTTGGCCCATAAAATTTTTGAAAATTGCTACAGAGCTTGTTTGTTCTATTTTTTACATTCCTTTTTTGGAGCTTTTTTTACTTGTATTTAAATGTGAAAGTAAAGGCACAGAAATTTATCATTTAGTATGGACTGAATAGTAATGTTATGCAGGTATTTTTTTAAATAAAAGTACTTAATCTTAAAAAAATAATTAAATTTAATTATAGGTAATTATATTACTTATACATTTTTAGGAAGTATTTCTATTTTATTAGTATTTATTTATGTGACTTTAATGACCTTAATATTTTTTGAATGTAGACTAACTACTTAAGATTGTTATTCTAAAACTACAGCAAGAGGAGATCTTCTTACACATGGATTTAAAACTGTTTTATGTATTTGCTTTGTTATTTTTAAAAATGATAGTTATTAAATTGTTTTGTTATTTATTTTTATTTTAGGATCAATGGTACTTTTTAATCATTTTTCATTTAATCTTTTATATCATAACTATTATATTTCTAAATTAATTACTTCTTAAATGGCTATCTTTATGTGGACTTCTTTAGTAAAATTTAAATTATCTATTTATATATATATATTTAAATAATTGTAAATATATATTTTTAAAATAGATGCTTCTTCTAGCCAAAATAATGTATAATTATTCGTTTGATGGAACAATTATTGTTTGGATTATTGGATTGCCTTTTATTGTACTTATAGTTATTTTAAGACAAGAATAGAATTTTGACTATATTCTAATAAATAGTAATAATTACGAAGTATTAGCATAACCAATGAATTAACTCACTTATTTAACTAAATTAGTAAACCTTTATCATTCCCATAAAGGCATAGCTATTCTTATTGACGGATTTTTAGATTATCATAGATGCTTAACAAGTAAAGAAGACACTAATACTAAAAGGAGAGTTCTTAAAACTACTAAATTTTCTAAAATGTTAAGATAATAAGGAGAATGCGAATAAGTTATTATGGTTATTGCTGTTATGTAAGGAATGTATTATTATGGATTATAAAAATTTCCTAATAATACGAGACTTAGGATTCTTTATGCATTATATCTTTTAGACAAAATGTAAACTAAATAATAAGCACTATAAGAATTATTGAATGCTGAATTGGAAAGACCTTCTTTTGATGAATAATTTATTATTTATAGGTAGTATTATTATTTATAAATTATGTTATTAAAACGTTATTTTTAGATATAAAATAATAATTGAAAATTCTCTTATTGAAAGATCGGATTAAAATGGCAAAAAGGAGATAATTATGAAATGGTAAATGAACTTTCAGTTTAAACACATT